CCTCCCGCCTGTTAGAGTACGCCCCGGGGCGGGGGGGGGACCGGGGAGAGGGCCGCAGATCAGGCTCAAGGAGGCTTTCCCGAGGGGACCGGGGAAACTGCAGGCACCGTCGGGGAACTGGCACCGGCCCGCACCCCCAAACCTTTGCCCGTCCCCAAAGAAAAGATCCAGGACTCGAGCTGCGCAGAGTCCCAGAGGGACGATCTCCTTATGCAAAGATCATCGCTGAAGCGCAGGGCTGGGGGTGTTTCCTGTTGTGTGCCCCCCCCTTTTACCCTTTTCCCCCGTAAAAACCTTTAGGTGTGACCTTAAAAGCACACCGTGCCTCCCCCCCTCCAGCGGGTCTGCAGCAAGGTAAGGCGCCTCAAAAGCGCACGGGCAGCGCCGGGGGGGAGAGGGCGCAGGGCGAGTCCGTCCGTGGAGGGATGGAAAGCCGGCGTTTCCCGGAGGGTTCCCAACGCCACCTGCTGTTCCTTTCTCCCCGGGCCTGATGGGGACTGTCCCTTCCATTCCCAGCACCCAAGGTCTGCGATGCCTGCAAAAACAAAAACGAAGACGACAACGACATTGTGGAAAACCTCTGCAAAAATGACTTCGGTAAGTGGAAGCAGAGCCCCCTCGGTTGAAACTTGAGAATTGAGGATCAGGTAAAACTCCCAGTGGAGTCAATGAGAGATGTGCCTAAATAAAGGCAGGGCTTTGTCTTATCTGCAGATAGACCCATCTGACTACGGGGTCATGATACACAAAAATCCACCCTGGAATAAAAAGTAGCCCTTTTTATAGTTCTGTTCTGTTTGCTGTTTCGAAGTAGTGCTCTTTTATGTGGATGTTGCTGGCAAGCCAAATAGAAAGTAAAATGGAAAAAAAGAAAGAATCTTTCATCCAGACTATTGCCTGGGGAGAAGCAGAGCAAAGCTTCATTTAGACGTATGAGAAAGAGCTGCATGACCAATCTCATGTATCGTAAGAAAGACTCTCTCCGCAGATTAAGAATGAAGCTCTATATATCATTTGACAGAGAAGGTAATGCACAGACAATTGGGGATATAAACTTAATGGGAAGATCTGGGGTTAGAAGAGGACAAGAAAGCCCCTTCGACACAGACAACTGAACGGCACATTATCCACACATTAGCATTTCAAGAGAAAAAGGGAATAAGGAGGGGAATCCTTTTATAATAGGTCAATGTTTATACCTGGAAACAGATTTGTAGTATAAGTATCTACAACAATTCAAAAGTCTTTCTTTTTTAAAAAAAACCCCACCACCCAAAACCTGAAACCATGACTGTGGGACATAATTGCTAAAACAACCAATAGCTTTGGCCTGGTAAATTGTACTCAGATAAATCCTCCTAAAGCTAAACATGCCCCACAGATTCTTACAGGGCCCTGTATCCCCCTCCTAGTTATTTTACCAAATCGAATGCAGCTGTTGGACCAATTTGCCCTCCACAGGATCTATTCTTTCAAAAAAACAATGCATGTGAAATATCATTTCCTTACAGGTTTGCCTAAAATCCTCTCCAGCCTAATAAATTAAGTTTAGAAGTTTTCAGCCACAGCAGAGATCAGGTTTCAGATTAGGTCTAGGTGCCCGCCTCCCCACCTCCCCTTCAAACTCTAGTTTCAGGAAGACTGTCCTCTCCCAGCTAAAACCAGAGCACTGCTTAATGTAGCCAACCTGCCTTCTCTCTGTTTGCAAACAGGAGAAAAGCTGGAGAAAATATTAATTTAGAAAGGAAGGAAAAAGAGGGGGAGGGGGGAAGAGGAGAAAAGAAACCCAAAAAACCTCAACCCTAAGGTTGATTCAAACTGAAATGACTTGCATGCCCTTTGTGGCTTTAGAAATGGAGCCACCTGCTGCCTCTTCTGTCAGCCCTGACAGTTTAATTAGCAATAGAGCACCTCCCTCCCCAGGTCCTCTTTATGTGCGCTAATGGGAAAAAACCTCTCAATCTCTCTCCCTCTCTCTCTCTCCCCCCACTTCCCCCTCCCCTCGCTCTATTAGCCTTGAAGATAAAAGTGAAGGAGATTGCCTACATCAATGGGGATACCAAGATCACCCCTGAAACAAAGAGCAAAACCATCTACAAGCTGAATGGGCTGACGGAAAGGGATCTGAGGAAGATCGTGCTCTGGCTCAAGGGTGGCCTCCAGTGTACCTGCGATGAGATGAACGACATCAACGTCCCCTACTTGGTGATGGGCCAAAAGCAAGCTGGGGAACTGGTGATCACCTCACTGAAGCGGTGGCAGAAAGGGCAGCGGGCTTTCAAGCGGTTCTCCCGCAGTATCCGCAAACTGCAGTGTTAGTGGCTTTTGTCCCCGCCGCCCCCGCCCGGCGGCCCTCTC